GTGGATGGAGAAGGGAATGTGAGAGAAGGAGAAGAATTTGGGCTAGAAATACAGAGTAAAATCAGAATGAAGAGAAAAAAGTTAATAACTAATTGATTAAATCTTCCAAGGGGTAAGAGTAGTGCCAGGAAAGTTGCAGTAAAGGATTTACAGTAATTGGATGGACAAGGAATTACATTCAAGATAAGTTAGGAAAAAAAAAAAAAAAGAAAAAACCTCTAAAAAACCCCCAAACAACCACCAAACCAGCAGCAAACCTTAAACATTTGTCTCACAGAGATACTCTTTCAACTGTTTAATTTACACTCAAAAGGGCTGAGCTTTGTTGGCAATGATGGTTTGCACTGCATTGAACATGGCAGCATGTATTGCAATAATCCTGCTTCCTCCCCCCTCACCCCCCTTAAAATTACTGGGTAGATAGGTGTTGAGACTTGGTAAGCAAGAGTGTTGTCCTGTGCATTAATCTGTTCCTCTGGATGACAACTTGGACTTGGAGTTCAAGAAAACTTGTAAAATTACCAAGCGTATATAAAGCCCCTTCTTGACTCTTGCTGTGCATAGAAATTTCTTTCTGTCCTCTTCTTTACCTGTCTCCAGCAAGTTCCATGGTTCATAGACTGATGCCTAGCTTCCATTTTGAATTTCGTCAGTTTTCTCATCTGCATGCCTAACTCGTACTTAATGCAATGGTTTCTGGGTCACATGAATGAAGAAAGAGTATAATCAAAAAGGCATAACAGGCAGACAAGATAAAGAAGGGCTGAGAGATGGAACATTTAAGAAAAAATGGGCTTCTTTCAGCTGTGTCCTTTCGCACTGTTTCTTTTGCCCAAGTTTCAAAGAAATTAGAGGAAAACAGCCACGTTTTTGCAATGACATCAGTTCTACACAATGTAAATTGAGTCTTTTTTATGTAGGTATGTGTAGGTGGCATTATATGTAAGTGTATAATAAATTGGAAATAGGAGTCAAGAAAAAAACCATGTTTTTTGTAATGCACTATTTAAATATTGGACTATTTTTAAAATATTGCAGACTATTTGCTTATGCATATATGAATACAAATAATAAATTTATTGGAAATACTTTGTTCTGTTATTTACCTGAAATATTGTGGAATATGTATAAAAAGAGTGATGTTTGAATTTGTATTTTTGTTGTGTGTGACTGGATGTGTCAGGGAAAAGTGAGTGTACTCTCTATGACTTACCAAAGGAAGGCTTGCTTTATTGAAGCGTACACAGATGGCTAACTGATAGCAGAGGTTTCTGCAACACTGCCTACAAGTTGCCAGAACGTCAATGTGAAAATATATCACTGCCTGATTCCATAGCAAAGAGCAGTTATTTTTACCAGGATTTATTAAATCCTGTCCTTCTAACAAACAGTACGTATCAAGCACTTCTACAGGTACTCTACAGGAAGCAGTTCCAGTTGCACCACCTTTAAAATGTTGTTTATCAAAACACATTTTTTATATTGCTTGAACCTGATTCATTTAAAGTATTACAAGAAGAGTGGAACGTAGTGGGTGAAATAGTCTATAATTGGAGTTGAAGTTAAGATGGTAAGAAGAAGCTAAATTATTTAACAGGTCTTTCAAATAAATATATCATTGCCACTGTACCATGAAGAAAGCTTTAATCACTGTAAGCAGTTAGGAAGGTATATCAGTGAAAAATGGCATGATCAGGCCATTTTTAGAGTATGCTTTGTGGATTGGGACTTATATAGCGTATAAAGGAGGTTACCAGCCTAGTACTTGCCTTATTCTACTAGTTTATTGGTTTATTATATGTTTTGTTAAAATCCATTCTCTGTTTAAAAAGAAGAGAACTTTTCATGGTTTCTCTTGACTGTTATTCTCACATGCGCTGTTCCACAGGTGTGTAGAAAAAGAGTTTACCTACGTTGTGCAGTTGCAACATGAAATTACATGTCTCATTTTTTCTGAAATGATTATGTAAAGAAAGCCCAAAATTTAGCCTAACAAAGTACTACTGTTCTTCTTCAAATTAATACTTTGGATGACTTTTAACTAAAGTAGATTTCAGATATGGTGAAAATCACATTTTAATCAACAAAATCCAATACAGAGTGCAAAATGTCAAAAATCCTCCAGGTATTTTAAGCTTAATGTGTTAAGTATTGTAATACTGTAGTATAACAACTGATGTTTAGGTTGAGTAGATATTTTTGTGGATAAAGACATAATTTCACATCTTAGAAGGTACATTGTCAGGTATACTTCATTGAACTAAAAGAAAAAAATGCAAATCAAAAAGGCTTGACTCTGGATATAAATTTCTGTGCTTAGAACTGTGGTACTGAGAAATACTTCTCCCCTTCTACTAGTCAAATAATGTTTAATCGTATTTGCTTTCTATTGCAGCAAAGTATGATACTCTGTAGAGAGTGAATATTTTTATGTTAATTTTAAAAGTCCAGTGATTCTGTTTGATGAAAAAGTTTAATATTAATGATGGAGTGTTAGAAAGACCCTTAAGACATGTATTTGAGTCTTAATGACATAAAATGTTTTTCAAGAGGTATTCTTACGTACTAGCATAGACGTTAGTGGGTCTATATGCTGCTGATCAAAACATGAATTCTACACTTACCTGAGTGAGAGCAATTAGGAGAAAAATGCCCCTACTTTTAAAATGTGCTTAAGTATGTGTCCAACTAATACACATAGGCCTAGAAGGTTGTTGCATTCCTTTAAATTTTCCTGAGTCAGAGTCCAAAATGGGAAGATTTTAACTTTTTTTAAAGTACAAAATAATTCTTTTTTTTTTCCACTTAAAAATGGCAAGTATCTGAAAAAATTCTTTTGGCTGAGTATATCTCTCCTAGGTACTTTTCTGATATTACAACTATATCTCACATTTAGTTATATCAGTTAGTTAAAGTTGACAAAACATTTTTCTTCCAATTCATTGCTATAAAGATTTGCAGCTACTAGTAAATGTTATTTGAATTTCTTACCTCCAAGCTGTATCTTTATGATAGGATAAATAATAATAGTAATGGTGATGTCGATGATGTTAATATTAATATCAAAAAATTGTGAGAGAGTTCTGTTCCCTTAAGTATTCTGATTGTCATACTAATCTTTGATTGAGGAATATGTATCAGACTAATTCTGCTGCATCGAGAAAAGAATTATTTCCAATGCAAAGGTTGTGAAGTTTATCTATGGAAACATCAGCTTTAGTTTACGTGGTGATCTAACAACTTTGATTTTGCATTTACTTTAAAAAATATTAAAAGATGCTTACATAATTATTGTGATCCATGAAAGTATCACTGTGAGTATTTTAGTAGACAGTGGCATGTCCCTTTTGTGCCTGTCCCTAGAGGCTTCTTTGCTTTAGAGAGAATCTTTCAGTCATTTTTTTGTCTTGGGAGCAGGAAGCTGTATAACTGTCAGCTACAAGGAAGTCTAATGGGAAATGAAGAAAAAACATTAAAAACCATCACCACCACCAAGAAGAACAACAAATTCTCCAGATTATTTATCCGAGCAACAGATTTTTTTTTTTTTTAATTGACTTATTTTAGGGAATATAAGTAGAAATGGTTTTCAGAACAAATCTACTGTCATTGTCTGGTAGGATACTTCCCAATATTTCCACCCTTTAATGCGCAGAAGCTTGTCTTGTGTATTTCCAGGCAAGCAGTAATGCTGTTGAGCATGATGATTCTCCATTACTTTTTACTCAAATTGTATGTAAATGTACATTTACTCAAAATGTATGTAAAACTTTTTAAAAGTTTTAAAACATCTAAAAAATTCTGTGATATTTCTAATACCTGCCTGAATCATTTGCAGTAGTGCTATTAAAATGTAGTAGAAACTGATCAAAGATTACTGAAAGACAGAAATTCTGTGCCTCATTTACACATCATTTATTTTGAGTCTTTTCATATATTATTGTCATTCCATCATAGAATACATTTTATTTCTTAATGTATTTTCTTCTTTGCTCCTTCAGTGCTGACTTAAATAATTATTTTCTTCCAAACCACTGGAAGTCTTGGTGTCTAACAGCAAAACCAGTAGCCTTCTAATTTTTTTTGCTTTAACAACCATTTCTAATTGATGTGTAGATGAATATGAAAGGATTTTGTGTGTAAATGGAGAGAAAATTCAGTATTGGCTGTGTTTATGTTACAAATTTTGTCTTGAAAAATTAAAAATATTACAATGGACCATCTATGCACCTGCTTGGTATACAGAACTATGTAAATTGCTTTTCTGTTACTGTTCATTGTGAGTGATCAAGGACACTTTGAGTGAGACACACTATTTCAAATAAGATTAAGTCTTTTTCAGAATGTGTGTATATGTACATACATACATGGTGTTTGAAAAAGGAAAATTCTAATCATATTTTGGGTAAAAACTATCATTAAAGGCAGCTGCATAAAATTACAATTTCTATTTTGAAGGGTTTTTTTTGTCTTTCCCTTCCATCTCCCATTAGAGGGCAGTGTTGTGAATATAGAGCATATTGGCATTGAAATATTGAAAAGAAAGCAAGTATTTTTAGTACATCTCAGGTTCCTTCTTTTCATTATAGATCTTACTAATTTCAAGAGGAAGAAGGGTGGACTAGAAATAATAGGTGGAAATAGCAAAGAGATTCGCATCCAACACACAGAAAGCTAGCTAGTAGAAAAGTTCCATTCAGTCGTTTGTATATTTCAACTTTTCTATGGTTAAACATGCTCCTTATTTAAAAGGGGCAATAAAACTAGCCAGAAAGCCAGGCCATGCATTTACCAGTTTGGGGTTTTTTTTGTACATCTCTCTTTACCTGAAAGAAGATACGGTTTCAGTTTTGCCCTGAACAGAGTCATTTAGCTATAACACTAAGTTCTTTAAAAGTTTTTCTGTTTGAGACTGTATGTTTTAGTCAGTCAATTTGCTTTTAATCTGAAAAGTTCTGCTGGGTTTACATGGCAAGGTTTTGGCAGTGGAGGGGTCAGCGATGGCTTCTGTGAGAAGGGATCAGGAGCTGCCCCCATATCAGACAGAGCCAGGTCCAGCTGGCTCCAAAATGAACCCGCTGCTGCCCAAAGTTGAACCTGTGAGTGAGGTTGGTGGCACCTCTGTGGTAGCATATTTAAGAAAGGGTAAAAACCGCTGTTGTGAGAGGGAGGAGTGGAGAAAATGTGAGAGAAACAGCCCTGCAGACACCAGAGTTGGTAGTGAAGCTGAGCCTGGGAAAAAAGGGGGGTGAGGGAAGCTGGTTTTAGTTTTGTTCTTATTTCTTACTATCCTAATCTGTTATTAATTGGCAATAAATTAATTTAATTTCCTCAAGTTGAGTCTGTGATGTAATTGGTCAGGGATCTCACTGTTCTTATCTCAGCCCATGAGCTTTTTCATCTTACTTTTTTCCCCTGTCCTGCTAGGGGTGGGGTGGGGGGGCGGAATGAGAGAGCAGATTTGGGGACACCTGGCAGCCAGACAAGGTTAACCCACCACAATAGTTTGTGTGCTGCAGGCATATTGATTTACTTATTGAAGTCTTTTGGAGCATTACGTACAGTAATTTTAGTCTGAAAATTGTCTCAGCATCTACAGTATTCCAAGTGAAGACTCCTCTGCATTTTCATGATCATTATTAAGAGTTTATTCAAATAAGTCTAAAATATTCCACTCATATCCATGATTTATAGAGGAAAACAATGCAAAAATTCTTTGGGGGACTGAAATTGGGGACTAGAGTGAAGTTGATGAGGAAAGTACTGCATGAGATGTTTAGGGTCTGCATTGCACAGAAGGTCAGATCACCTGTTTGTAACACACTCTTCTAGACTTTAGACGTAATATTCCCCTATCTTGCTTGTTTGTTCCTTTGTAGAATAACTTGGGCAAAACTGTAAGTTTATATTGTACTCATACGCATTTTGTTTTGAAGAGTTAAAAGCTAGGATTATATATGCTTGTAAAGACCTTTGAGTCAGGTGGACACTAGATGAGTTATTTTTAAAAAGCAAATTAGATGCCACTACAGATAAATGCAGTCTCTGGTTTCAACATGGTATTAAGCTCAAAACTATCAAAACCAGCTAACAGAGCAAAAAGAAATGCTGTAGTTTCTTTTTGAGCTTAACCTGTAGGAGTTAATCAAACTATGGAGTATCCAAAAGTACCTTTGTGGAATCCTAGTGTTTCACATTTCTTCAGATTGTATCTTCTCTTGAATGACCCTTACCCTCAAAGAAATGAGGAAGAGGAAAAAAAGAAAATTTTGATTAGAGTTGGTTTTCACATTTGGGATTTTTATTTTGGACTTTATTTACTGCAAACTGTGGCATATTCCATTACTTGTCACTTACAAATTCCTGTCTTCTCTTGCAGTGCACTTGTAGGAGAGACATGGTGATGATATCCATGGACATCTTTGTGAGGAAGTTTCAACCAGACAGATACCATCTGTGGAAACAAGGCAAGGATTTATACACCATTGATCATACAAAACCAACTCCTGAATCAACGCCTGAAGTAAAGACCTGGCTACAGAGAAGAAAGAAAATAAAGAACTTTCCCAAGTGGTATTTATATTTCTTTATCCTCCATTTAATTGTGTCTTAATATGATGTCAGTTTCCTTTTTGTTTCTTTTTTTTTTTTTGCCACTTTCTCTGATGTTTTATTTGAATTCATGTACTTTAGACAAAGTTGGTTTTTCTGTTTTTTACATAAAGATGGACTTAGGGACAAGCAAGTCTTTTTTTCAGAGAGACTATGAAAAATTAATTCAACTTAGAAGTTATGTCTGTAGCTGAAGTTCATGAGTATGGAGAGCATCAAAATGCATTCCTGTGTGGTATTTAGAATCTTTCTTCAGTAGAGATTATTCCATTAAAATTTTCAAGGTATGGATGGTTGCCATTGTTTCTAATGACATCTGCAACCAAAAGACAAGGGAGAAGCCTCCTAAGAGTTGAGGGAAAGGTTAAATCGGAAAAACATATCGTGAAGTGGTGGCAGAATCCCAACAGCTGTGTGAAGTCTCTAGCCATCACTGCCATCAAGCTCCAAGGAGATATCACTGCCTATTTGGCACACTCTCACAGTGCTGCAGCCAAAACCTCTCTGTGTCTACCACAGGTCATAATTTGACATAAGGAAGGCCTAAATCTCAGTTGTTGGTGCTGACACCACTAAGAAAATTAGCAGAAAAAGGTTTCTGAGCTTGTCACTGAAGCTGTCAAAGCTTTGACCTATTAAAGCAGTTTTATAGCTGGATGTGTTTTCTCGGTGTGTATCATGTTTTTTGTTTGTATTGCACAAACATGTTTTGTACATTAATGTTTCCTTTCTTACTTATCAGGATCCTTACGGATTTTCTTCTTCATTAGCTGATAAAGATCTATTTAATTTCTAGCCTAAGGTGGGCAGTTTTATTGGTATCCACTTACTGTGGAGTTTTCAGGGTTAAAGATAATACTGAATTTTTTAAGACCTTTTTCCTCCTTCAAATCATTTTACAATATAGATAATGTTTTAACTTACTCTTAAACTGAATTTCCTCTTTTTCTTTGTAAATTAATGTATTTCTTGAGGAAAATTAAAGGAAAGTCAACCTGTAAAGACGACCAACTACCGCTGTAGTGGAACGTTATGGTTGAAAAATATAACATTGGGTTTGTTTTGGGTAAGGATAGTTTATGTGATAGAAACAGTTCTTGCAGAGAACCAGTGATGCAGCTGGACAGTCAATTTGTTAGTATATGTATAATATCTGTAATATTAACCCAGACACAAAGAGGGGGTAATTCCATTGTTTAGCCAGTTGAATGCCATTTTGCCCTGTAGTAAGTTTCACTGTGTGTATTGTGCAGCATAACTGCAAGTTCACACTTGTACCAGCAGTGATTCATTTGGTAGTACCCTTATGGATACCAAGTTTTAACTAAAAGCAAAGATTTGATAATAATTGTGTTGAAAGTTTTATCATAGGAATACATGGGCTGATTTCATGCACTTAGCTAATCTAATAAACACAATTCCAGTGCTGTTTAATTCTTGAGTTGGCTTTTATTCAGGCATGGTAACAATGCATATTGCAAAGGGAGGATAAAATGTTTATTCAGCTTCATTTCTACTGTAATGTGTCGATTGAAATTGTCGTCATTTTGGTTATGGGAACAATACAAGTTCCAGCAGAGTGAAAACAGAAATACCATCCATGGAAATCTTCATGAATATAGTGACAGGGAGAGCTTAGCTCTGACATTTATAGCTGAAATACTTTGCTACAATAGAACATCTAATGACTGCATGTAAACAGTAATAATACTTGCTGTTGTAATATAATTTGGACTGATGGGTCTCACTCTTTGGCAACTTTTCTGGAAATTACTATTTTATTGAGAGGTGTTGGAAGATAATTGGTGGACATACAATAAAAAGTAAGGAGTAGCAAAATGTTTTTCTGGAATTATCTATAGTCTAAGATGCAAGACTTTTGTAAAACTCCTGATTTACTTGCCATACTTGGGCTTTTATCACTAGTTGTGTTATGAGTTTTGAAACCTGATTTGTGATGAAGCACATAAAAATCTCCTCCCATGTCAGCATAGTTGAATTTGAAACTGGACTAACCTCCTGCTACTTTCATCCTGAACACACAAATTACAAACCAGTTTCTGACAGAGGGTTCCATTTCTGCTACTTTAACCTTTCCCTTCTACTTCTAATGGTTCAAAAACTTATACTGAAGATTTAATTTCAGCTTCATTGTTTTTACACAGCATTATGAAATATATTGCTTGATATTGTAGCCATTCAAAATATTTGGTGATCAGAATTTTTCCTTCTTGCAGATGCTTGTTGTTTGCGTTAAAATGCGTGTAGAAACTTAAAAGATATCTAAACAGACCTGCTTTTACAAGGGTATTCAGGCTAGTGTTTTATTAACATTGGGGTTTGGAAATTACACCTGATTTTAGTGCAACTGAGAATGTTTTGTCTTCATTACTTTTATAAGGGTTATTGTCTTTCAAGTTCAAAAGAATGATTCATTAAAAAGCTAGTTGGGATGCTGGTTAAGTAATAGTTACTTAAGGTTATTTTACTTCTGCAGTTTAATAACTTTGCCATAGAATGGTGATAAAAGATTAGAAAGTCAAATCCAATCAATTGTTAACCTATCACTTAATAAATTGTAAACACTATCTTAACAGAAAAAGATGAAAAATTGACAGTTTTTTGCCACTTTAAGCAGGTGAAAGGGACATATATATTGGTAGACGTTTTATCTTATCCAAGACAGACATTCTACTCTGACAGCAATATCTCTTATAGCAGCTTCCAGCACACCAGATCTCGATCTAAAAAGCTTAAAACTCCAGAGGACAAGGGAGTATCTGCTATGGTAGCTGGTGCAGAAATCATAGTGACTGAAGCAGCTACTGATGGCTTCAAGGTCATTGAAGAACCTGGAAAAGAAGTGAGACTGGTAAACACCGGAGTGCCTTCTGGGGAGGAAGAAAACAGTGGTAGAATGCAGCTGGATCAACATTTATTGGATAATGTCAAGGTTGCAGGTGAGATAAGAACTGATTATGTTTCACATGTAAGTTGTAGGCTGTTGATACTCTAATGCCACAAATCAGTGGATGTTAAAGCACGGTATTATCTTAACTCTCAGCCAAAATCAGGACAGTAGCATACTAAAAACTTACTTACAAAGATATGCAGAGAAGATTGATATTCAGTAAGAATGAGAAAATGACAAAATTAATGTTCTCAGCTGAGAGTAATATCACCTAAACTGTTTTAATGAAGTGTTTTTTAAAGGGGCATAAAGGATGAGGTTTTGTAAATTATATTTCTTCAACAGACTGATGGGTTTTACAGCAAAATTTTTTTGATACAGAAATGATACAGAATGTCTTAACACATGCAAACAGTACGGAACATATATGCTTTGTAGTATGCTACATGTATTTATATGAAGAATGCTGCATATTACAAGTGGTCTATACTTGTGCACAAAAATGCTGTAGTTTGAGACTGCAGATTTCTTGTCATTTCCTGTTGAGCTGTCTGACAGTACAAGTTATAAAGACCTTGTCAAGCCAATGATGGTTCTTTCTTCCCCCACAACTATTTTATAGTAATATACTTGGTCTATTCTGGACTTTATTTCTTCTGTTTCACATTTCATTGTAGTTCAGGTGTAGTTTCACATTCCTGTTCAGAAAAGCAAACTGCATTTTTAACTTCAATTTTGTGGGCAATCCCGTTGGTTTTATATTGATACTTAAAATTTACTTGCAAATTGCATGTAGAGAGAATTTCCCTGATTGTGAATATTAATGGTTATGTTCATGATTATTTGGAGGTGGTAAACAGCAGGATCGATCCACATAAAGGTAGCAAAATGGGTATTCCAATATGGAGGCTTAGAAATTCCTGTGTACAAATTAGTTGGTGCTCTATCAAAGCCTTTCCAGGTCTGTTCTAATGATTTTTTAATCTTTTTTTTTTAAAAGGTGTTACTTTTTCGCAGCTTTCCCTAGCTTTTAATAGAGGCTTGGAGTGTTCATGACCACTGAGAAACTAATATTTAGTTAGCAGCCATTCTGTGCTCATTGACAAGGGAAAGAAAAGCAGAGAAGAGTGGAGCGCTGTCCTGTTTCCCTTGTGCTATTAAAGGAAGGTGCCTGGACCTTTGTAGAGACAAGTAACTTTATAGATGAGCACTGGACCTTCCACCATGTTATGTTAGAGATGGTTGTTTGTCCTGCATTATCTCTGGCTAGTATGCCCATTATGGTCAGTCAAGGCAATACTCGTACACAGAGATTATGTTTTGGTGTTGAATGGGCTTTATATTACCAAATTTTATATTCATTTCACCTAAAAAGGGATTTTTTCAGAAAAACAAGTTCAAATAGCCATTGTAAAGAAAGAATGGGAAGCGACTTTACAGAGACTGTTTTCTTTAATACATTGGATGTGCTGCTGAATCAAAGTTCACTGTGGTGCGTGCCACAGAGTTCTTCAGGAACATGTTTTTAGGGTGACCTCTCTAACCCATTGTTATGTCTATCCCATGCAAGCAGCAACAGAAATATAAATATTACGTAGTCACATAAAATTATGCTAATTCTTTAAATATAAAATTATGCTAATTGCTTTTAATTTTTAGATCGGTGCTGTTGTTTTCAAAACATTCTTGGTATCCACTTGAAATTATGTTTTCCTAATTATAAACCATTAGTCTTTGTTTATTTTCATTTTTAAAACAGGCTTAAATGGTATAAATGCAGTGTATAAAGTTCAGTATACCAACCTTTCATATTATTTTTTCCAACTAGTCAAAGTTCTTGTGACTGTCAGAGTAAACAAGCTACATGAATATTGATTATTCTGAATGACATGAAGACCTGTTGTAATTCAAATACAAAAAAAAAAGATAAAATTTTTAAACCTGTATTTCACACACCAAACTCAAAACATTTACATTTAATTTATTCTTTGATCAAACCTATACTCCACATTTGTGTATGTCCTTCTACCAGATGCTGTTTAATATGATTTCTGAATGAGCAACCATACTTTGAATTTGAATAACTCAAATTGTTGTGAAATGAAATACAATAAATAGATATATATGTACATAGATATACACACACAATAAATGTAAAGTGAAATTTATTAACAAATCATATTCTTGATCTATAGGAAGCATCCATTCAGACTCATTTTCAAGCCCTGTTCCTGTACGAGAGAAAACAAAAACGGAGCATGAGGAGAGGAGAGATTCCAGTTATCCTGTCTTTACATGTGATGATTCTGTGGTCTGCATGCCTGCTTCTGACAGCTGTAGAAGAGAAGAGAGTTTGAAATCTGAGAATCAGTCTGTTTCGTCCACACCATACCATAAGACAGAGAGACATGCTTCTGAAGCAGAAAACCCAGATAAAGAGGAAAATGTCTCCATAGAGGATGCTGTCAGTGACCTAGAAAGCTGTGTGAGTAGCTTGGAACATGGAGAAGTGCCTGTTGTAAAAAAGGATGAAGAAGATGGCATGGAAACATCTAGTGTATGTGAAGATTACATCATTATAGTAATATATTCCTGATTTAATGAAATGTGAATGAACATGTTTCTAATGAGACCTGATATCCATATTAAAACACTTAAGAATATTCATGATTTTAATCAGATGCTAATTTGAACATGTTTTGAAGTATTCAAGCAAGAGTGGGAATTTGGATCCAAAAGCAGAATGTTTCTGGAGCTTGCTTGTTGACGTATTTTCTCTCTGATTTTAGATATCTAGTAATTTCACTTGATATCTGTGAATCTGAACTGTCAGCAATTGCTCTCAAGCTATTCCCATGTTCACTGCCTGCCAGTATGAACAAGGCTATCAGCTTTAATTATTACTATTGACATGAAATTGAAATTATTAGAGATGAGTGCTGTATTTGGTATCATGTATTTGTGTTTCAAAAAATGGCTGTTATGGCTGAGTCTTACAGAGAGTTAATGGTATGCTGGTAAAATATCAGCAAGAATGGGTTTATTCTGAGAGAGTTAGTGTTGAAGGACAGACTATAACAGTGTGGAAGCACATGGTAATTTATTTTTGGACTGATGCCCTTCTCAAATAAAGTGAATGAAGCAAAGCTGAGGATCATCTCTGCATTGAGTTAGGTGGAAACAAAGTTTACTTTTATTCTGTTATATTATCTCACATAGTTTATGAAATCTTACGGACTTTCTTGCTTTAGTTGAACCTGTATCCATAATGTTGAAGTTGGAGGAAGTGAGTCTTTAAGACATAGCTATAGCAGGATAATGCAGACAGTATGATTTCAGGGTCTGAAATTTGCTATTCTTGGATTTTGGAAATGACGTAAAACATGTAAAGGAAACATTTGAAGGAAGAGATCCCTGTAATAAAAGGAAGATTTTTTTTTGCATTTTTAAATAGTATGTTTAATAATGTTTTCTCATTGGGGCACCTACAAACTTACAGTCCTTTTTTTTACTCTTGCTATTCTATTATGAAGGGTGGGCAGCTTTGACTTCACAATGCATAATGAAAAATTAAGCTCTGGTGGTAGTCACAGTAGCTTTCTGACTTGTGAATTCAGTCCCAGTTTGGCAGAGAGAGAGCATGAAAACCACTGCCAGATTGCCACACTTTGTGGGAAATATATTTTAGAAACCAAAATAAAACCATGCTGACCCTTTCATAGACATGAACTGTGCACTAATGATTTTTTTGCAATGTTGTAAATTTTAATAAGCTTGGCTCCAGCCCTTCCACTGTAATAATGAGCACTATAAACATCTCTGTGTTTTAATCATTATGTATTAGAGTTTATGTTTATCTCTTTCTATGCCTTTCAGCCATTTATATATGAGGTTTCAGATACTCTCCAGCATAATTGCATACTCTTTCTTTCTCTTTTATTATAAGTGAAGAACCATGTTGTACAGATGCAATTAAAAAGTCTGATTTTCTCTCCCTTTTTACTTAGTTGGTAACTTTTTCTAAATCATAAACCCTGTGCTTTAACCAAATCGTCCTCCCTCTGCCTATCACAGTAAATACGATGTTGTTCTGTAATTTACTTCCCATTTTACAGTAGCAATTTTCAACCCTCATATCAGTCAAGGGGCATGTGTGTAACCTGCTGGGTTAGATTCAGGGTGTTGAGGAGCAGAATGCTGTGGTTCATTTGAATCGTCGGAGACTGTGTCTTTCACACTGCTGCCAGTGTGCTTGCCCTTACTCTGCTCTTGAACCTCCAGACACCATCAGCAGCTGGTTTACTTTGTGATTCCCTCACTGGCATTCAAATCTGGAGTTGTGAAACCTGCCCTCCTGGAGTTTGTAGTGTTGACTTTTCTTCTTGAGGCTTGGATAACTTCAAGCTGAATGTCCATTAGGGTGCTTAAGGGAGGAAGGAATTTCCTTGTATCCCAAATCAACATGTTAATTGCATATCAGGACTCTTAAATTTCTTATCTCAACTCCAGATCATTTTGTTACTTCCTCAGGAATTTTGCGCTCTTTCACAAATGAAGTAAGTGGATTTCTGCCTCATTTTCCCAGCCACAGTTAGTGTCTGTATTGAACTTCAGGTTCTGCAGAATTGTTTGGGCTGTTCTTCCTCTCAGACATCACCTGAGCAAACCAGGATTTCTGCTGTCTAATTTGGGAAGGGCTGCAGTAAGTTATACTTCAAACCATATGTGTTTGACAAGGATTGCTCTTTTTTAATTAAAGCATATATTCTGAATTAGAGACAAATGTTTTATTAGTACACTAAAGGTACTTCAGATATCCTGATAGTATTTACAGAATTGACATCTGTGCTCTTTTACAGATGAGTGTTTTTGTTCATCAAAATTAACTTTGCAGAATTACATACTAAATTTGATGTGTTTTTTCTTTTTCAGTCAGTGGAAGTTGAAAGAAAGAAAATATCTAAGAGTTGGCGTCATCCACTAAATAAACCCCCAGCTAGATCTCCAATGACTTTGGTTAAACAGCAAGCAACTAGTGATGAAGGTGAGTGTAGTATTTAATACATTTTTCTGAAGATACTTTTCTGTCTTTATGAGACCATATATATATATATATATATGCATTTGCAAAAACAACCAAGATGAAATAGTTTCTTTCTAGATGAGAAATGTAAACAGCGAGGCCTCTGCATCCACCAAGAGGTCATGCATTTTAAGCCCGTTTTCACTCAAAGCATAGAATTGTTTTGGTTGGAAAAGACCCTTAGGATCATCAAGTCCAACCATTAACCTGGCACTGCCAAGTCCAACCACTAAACCATGTCCCTAAGCACCACATCTACACATCTTTTAAATACCTCCAGGGATGGTGACTCAAACACTTCCCTGGGTGGCCTGTTCCAATGCTTGACAACCCTTTTGGTGAAGAAATTTTCCTTGATGTCCAATCGAAACGTCCCATGGTGCAACTTGAGGCCATTTCCTCTTCTCCTATTGCTTGTTACTTGGGAGAAGAGACCAACACCCACCTGGCTACAGCCTCCTTTCAGGAAGTAGTAGAGAGCCATAAGGTCTCCCCTCAGCCTCCTCTTCTCCAGGGTAAACAACCCCAGTTCCCTCAGCTGCTCCTCATCAGACTTGTGCTCTAAACCCTTCACCAGCTTTGTTGCCCTTCTTTGAACATGCTCAAGTATCTCAATGTCTTTCTTGTAGTGAACACAGGGCTTGAGGTGCGGCCTCACCAGTGCTGAGTACAGGGGGATCATCACTTCCCTAGTTCTGCTGGCCACGCTATTCCTGGTATTAGCCAGGATGCTGTTGGCCTGGCTCATACTCAGCTAATTATCAACCAACACCCCCAGGTCCTTTTCCACCGGACAGCTTTCCAGCCACTGTTCTGCTAGCCTGTAGCGTTGCCTGGAGTTGTTGTGACCCAAGTGTGGGACCCAGCACTGAACCTTGTTTAATGTCATACAGTTGGCCTTGGCCCACTGATCCAGCCTGTCCACATCCCTCTGTGGAGCCTTCCTAGCCTCAAGCATATCAACGCTCCTACCCAACTTGGTGTCATCTGCAAACTGACTGAGGCTGCACTCATCCCCTTGTCCAGATCATTGATAAAGATATTAAAGAGAACTGGCCCCAGTACTGAACCTTGGGGAACACGATGTGTGATCGACCGCCATCTGGATTTAACTCCATTTACCACAACTCTTTGGGCCTGGCCATCCAGCCAGTTTTTTACCTAGGGAAGTGTATGCCCGTCCAAGCCATGAGCAGCCAGTTCTTCCAGGAGAATGCTGTGGGAAATGGTGTCAAAGGCTTTACTGAAGTCCAGGCAGACAACATTCACAGCCTTTCCCTCATCTACTAAGTAGGTCATCTTGTCTTAGAAGGAGATCAGGTTGGTGAAACAGGACCTGCCTTTCATAAACCCGTGCTGACTGGGCCTGATCACCTGGTTGTCCTGTACATGCTGCGTGATGGCATTCAAGATGATCTGCTCCATAACCTTCCCTGGCAC